ATAATATTTTACACAACAAAATGTTTTAATATTATATAATTTTTACAACACCAATAAACTTCAAACGTTTGTGTATAGACTGTACAAAATAAATATATTTAATCAAACACAAACATGACGCATATAAGATACAAACCAGTACTGTATTTGATAAAGTTAACTTTAACTCAGCTGAGAATCTAAACAATCGAGGTATAATATTTTAACTCCAACAATTACATTCGAGAAAACGTCTTTCGCACTAATGGGTCGTATATCTGATAGAAATTTCCCAAATATTTAATCTACTTAAACTCTTTAGCATGAATGACGTGAATGTTATCCGGAATTGAAAATCAAAGACGAACAAAAATTTAAATTTGACATGCACTGTTTACATATTTACATCTACACACAATTAAGTTCAAGGTTTACATGCGTCATGATTGTGTTTTTGATTAAAATATATAATAAAATACAGGTCAATACACAAAACTTTATTAGGATGTTAAAAATTTAAAATTCAAATGTTAAAATTTTAAATTTGCGCTATTCATCAATAGCGCAAATTTAAAATTTTAACATTTAAATTTTAAATTTTTAACATCCTAATAAAGTTTTGTGTATTGACCTGTATTTTATTATATATTTTAATCTACACACAAGTTAACATTTATCGTAGATTCATAATTAAACAATGTAGTGATGTATTTCTGTTCATAACGTCCACCAGTACAGATTATCAGTACACAAAATTTGCCAAATGTAAACCAAAATCTTCGCACGGCCGCCATGTTCATCATGCCATATGACGTCAATAAATCCTTTCGCTGACGTGGACTTCAATCACTCTCACTGGAAAGGACTAAGAAAGACACGAATAGTACCTCAAATCCTTCTACTACGATAATACAGGGTGATTCTAAAAGGACTTTACAAGTTTGAAAGTGTGTAGAAATTTAATCAGAAAGCTTTCAGAATCGGTTGAGGTGTCATTTTGTAGCAAAACAAACTTAATATTTTTTAAAATAAAAATCATTTAGCGCGCATTTTAGGACCACCTTAAAATCGCCTGTACCTCATAACTCTTGACGTCAACACGTTGGCATTTCTTATAAGAGCTCAACAAATCCGCTAGGTTTCTCGTCCGAGTGAGACGTGTTGTTAGGACACGTGTAAGGTGATGACGGTAGTGGCTCACCTCTCCGCTGCGCAGTTCAATAATTGTAATCATTTTCTGGCAACATACGAAGAGGCTTAAAGTTACATGTCGTGTTATGTTAATGGTTAACCAATTATTTATTTATTAAATTGTGCTCTGTATAATAAAGAAGAATTTGTCTGATTAACACCGGGTTTTTATGGCTCACAAGTTTACCATAATTACGTATTTATTTATTTAGTGTTCTGTCTGACGACAGGTCCATATGAACAGGATCCTTCCATCCTTTTCTCGGACTGGGACCTGTTCATATACGTTCTTGGCAGATGATCCAGAAGTGGTTTGCCATTGCCTTCTTCTGTGTGTGAATGGAGTAATTGTTGGGATGCCACGGAGGAAAACTCCGTGTTGCCTAGACCACGGCCTTGCCCAACACAAGTTATAAATTCGGGCACCGTCGGGAATCGAACCCGAGACCCCCAGGATTACCAGGCCAGCGTTCTAACCGCTAGACCACCGTGGCTCATAATTACGTATATGTCCCTTAAATTAAAATATTCATTCTTATAACTTTTATTCTACCCCCATACCCAGAGAACTACATTACTGGTTTTCATTTTTATGTAATTATGTACAGATATTTTTCCTATATTTCTTAATTCTACAGTAATAATAGGCTACAATTTGTTGATCTCTTAAAAGATGTCTATTCATTTTCCACCAAAACGTTGTCCCCTCTGTTTAAAATATACACGAAATGCAGTGATCCTTTACTATGAAAATTACAGCGTTACGTGTGTAAAAGCTAGAAACATATGCAGGAAACCAACGTCAGATGCAGTTACTGTTCTTTGGAACAAGTTAAAGTCTCCCACCTGGTAGTGCAGTTGAACTGAGGATGCATTCTTCTGGGATCAGAAGTAGAAGGAACCTGCCATCTGTGAGGGGTGACTGCGGGATGTCCTTACGACAAAGAGAAGTCGAATGATGGGACAGCAGTCGGCTGGACTCACTCTGACTGAACCCAATGACGTCAATCCACTCTTTCATTGAATTCAGGAGAAACTGCATCTATTTACGTGGTGGTTATTAACAACGTCGATATGTCCTGCTGAGAATACCCCGGAACACGAGACCATATCTCTTGTTACCACAAAATGAACACGTCGTACATTCACTAATGTCTTTCAACGCTTTGGAGTTTTATAACTGAAGAGTCGAAACACAGAAGGAGATATAACAAGAAAGACAAATTTTCGATAGCCCTGATGATTAAGGCAGTAAGCACCTCCGAAACGTCGGTCAACTTATACCGAAAAACACAGCGCGACAAGTGTTCTCTGACGCGATTATATATGTTTAATTTAAAAAAAAAACATTACGATAAGTGAAATTCAAGACTGAGTATCTTTCTTTCCGTACGCACGGATTAAAAACATTTCATATAAACTTAAAAATAATTTTCACCATAATATTAGCTAAGTGTGTGTGCTTTTAATGCTATTTTATAAAACAAAAACATTTCTGGCGCAAGATTTTATCACTTCCAGAGAAAGCTGGTTTCAAAACTTATGCTTTCCTTACATGCCAATAAAACGTACTGATATTTTTATACACACGACAGACATTAGTCTAGGGATTTCGCCTCTGAAAAATCACCGGTAGAAGCAGACGTATGTTAGGTGCCTACGTAGAAACGAGGCATTTTTTGCGGTCAAAACTTTCAGACCCGAGACGTGACGAATTCTGAGAGATTGTTCGTAAAAAAAGTGACTAGACTTTATATACAGGAGTGGTTAAGATTAACCCCATAGCACTCAATGCTAACGAAATACTTTTATTAACAATATAATTCTTAAATTTGCTAACATAGTATATATATATACATATGTGTGTTTTTCGTGTGATAATTTCCCTAAATTGCGTCAACCAGCTGATCTTTGTAATAAGGATGCATTGTGTTTTCTTTGAGATAAGAACTGAGTCCTTAAATATTATTCAGGTCTCAAGGGGTTAACGAAAATATTTTTGGAAAGACTGGTAATCAACTTGCAGGTCGATTTAATTCCATATAAAGAGCCTATCGGATAGGAAATTACGTGAGCCCGAGAATCAAACCGAACGCGATTTTCCTCAGTCCTTCCAGACCCTTGTTAGAAATAGATCGTGAAACGAGCCTTTATCGATCGTTTCCTCTTTGCTGAGGACAGACTCGGCACACGATGGACCACTAAAATATTACACTGCATTGCGCCTATGAAAACACATCACGCACGAGCTGAGAGCAACAAAAGAAATCTGGATGAAACACGAGTCAAAGAGACGCTGAATTGTACTATAAATAAACAGAGTAAGTACTGGGATCGGCTGAGCACAGCGGGCAGAGCAGGGGGGAGGTACTGGCTTATTTACGTGTGCCCTTGTTAGGAGGGCTTTGCCCGGTAAGGTTGGCAGAATACAGAAATCTTGGTCGAGAGATCTTCAACAAGATTCTTCCCAACAGAAATAACAAGTCAGTTTTATCTTGCATTTGGAGAGGCGAGACAGGCATAATTTTAGTCAGAATACCTTGAATCACAAGACCCAAACTTATATGGAAGAATAATATTAAAATGGATGTGAAGTCAAAAGGACTGGGATCAATTGGCACGAGCCTGAAACCGATCTCGTGTTATTGTAAGCACGATATAAAATTTCGGGTTCCATTAGCCTAACCTAAGAGAGGTGAGGAATTTGACAACCTAGGTTCCTCTCAGGTACTCAAAAATGAATTAATCTAGATTTCTAGGCAGAAAAAGCTGATTTCACTACTACAATATCATAACTGTTCTTCGTGAAATGTCCAGTTCTTACCTGAAAATTGCGACATTCTTTGGATTAATTTTTATGAATAACTTAGTCACTTCTAACATTAATTACTTTACTATTAATTTTAAAATGCACAGGTAGACCTCATCTGCATTTTATAAATTGCTTAAACCCACGACATCCAAGGGGACATACTTTCAGCAAAGTAATAAATTACCATCCAACTGGCTGCTAGCATTCATTACCTTTTTCCAACTTTTACCAGCGAGTATAAATATTTCAAAACCCACCACAACATCCCTTTGTGAAAGCAATTCCTTAAGATGTCATCATAATTTTAACATTCTCTAACAGATAGTATTTATGTAACCTTAATTTCTTGTAGATTTAACCCCTCAAATGCCATCTCCTTAAACACAAGTTGCACGTTCCATTGATACAAACGATAAATTTAGTGTTAATCAACCTATGACAAAGTTAATAATATCATCAACGCTCTGCCTGTTTAGCTATTATGACAATATCAACGACAAATGTTATAGTACTGTATTTACCGTCGTGGCGCCACGAATCAAATAAGTGGAATG